CATAAAGAATTTATACTTACATATAGGATAAGATCCATATAAATATAGATTTATACACCCTATCCCCATGTAAACATAGATTTATAACCCACATTTATTTATATACTAAAATAAATAAAGTAAAAATAATTAATGAAAATATATTTGACCTCAAGTGATCATTATTTAAATGTTAAATGAGTGGCCACATTTCGAAATTTTTACTAGTGTTAATAGTTTTATGTTTTATCTGATTCCCTTATTCAGTAATCCTGTATAAGGGCAGTTTATTTGTTAAATTTTACATGTTTCATGCATTAAGCATAATACATGTTATATAGGATACACACACATATATATATATATATTTTTATGGCACACATATCTGAAATGTTTTTTATGGAGGTTAATATTTTTTATTCCTTATGGAATAAATATGGTGATTAATGAAGTTTATTCCTTCATATTAAATAAATGCATTGATTATTTTTAAGGTGAAAACTTCTTTAGATGCGTTTTGCTCTTCTTTGTGGAGAATGAATTAGATTGAGCCGTCAGATTTCCGAAGTTTTAACGCTCGAGTAAAGTTGGCTAGAGTCTAACAAATTGAAATGTTTTTACATATTGATTAAAATATCTCAGAAACTATAAATCGGACCTGCATACTGTAAGCGATGAGATTGATCAGCATTTCGTCCTCTCTGTAATTCAAAATCGTATCTTAACTTGAATCCGTTTTAGGGATGTGAATAGGAAATAATAGTGACAAAACCCAAATGGTAACGAGGTTAGTTGGACATATGGATTAAAATATTTCAGATACTAAAAATCGGACATGTATCCTATAAGCGAAGGAAATGTTCAACATTTCATCTTCTTAGTAATGAACTATTATATTTAATTTATATTTCATATTATTTATGTCAGATTTTTTATGTTTCTACTTATATCGTGTAGTCTAAAGCACACAACTTAGTTTTTTTTTATTTTTTATTAATGCTTTATTTTATTAGTTTCATTAAATATAAAATACGTTTTTTTTTCATCTTCATTATTTTGTTACATCTTATTTACGTATTAAATATCACAAAGTTCTTATCAATAGGATACAACCTTTATCTGGGTGAGGAACCAATTGTTGGAAACGCCCAAGATTGCTTTCTAGAAAAAAGATACTAGCTGGCACAAAAATAGTTGCCATGGTACCTACCTTCCTCCTTCTTTAAGTAAACTTCTGAGCTTCACTTCTAGAAAATAATAGCTCGAAGGATACACCTAGTTCAGTCGGACCTTAAAAAAGAGATATTATGTGTGTGTGTGTGTGTGTGTGTATATATATATACACATAGCTTAGGCCAAACTAAATCATATACTGAGAGCATATATGACATAAACTGAGAGTATCTAATCACCAGATTCATGAATAAAATGATTGAAACCCAGAATCTGAATGGGATTCGAATTTTTGAAATTTCGATTAAGATGGCAGTTCGATTTGATACTTCATAAAACACTGCTTCGATAACAAACGAAAAAACATTGGATGCAATGAAAATAAATACAGACAAAATGTTTGTACTATCAACACAGCATTTTTTATTTATTCTTTGGAACCGAGATTCAAGAAGGAAACCACGATAAGAGGCAATACGTCAGTCTCGTGCAGACTTCCACAGACCCTGAGCAACAGATAAGAAGATTCCCAGGAAATAGATAAGAAAGGTATGATTATAGTGCTCTTGAAAAAAAAATCTCTAAGTGTTAGGAGCCATTTAAACGAAAACGAAACAGTTACTGTAAAAAATATATATTTGACGTTGTTACTCTCAAACCTGACGATCACCTTAATATTGCTAAGTTGTTTTCGAAGAACCCTGAGGGTTAATAAAAACTAAAAAAAATAAAGATTCATAGGCATTCAAGAAATAATTCGTTGACAGCACTGACCTGACGGAAACTTATATCGATATAAGCGGCTGTGAATTTTTTTTCCTTAATCAATGCGTAACTTTTGTCCTTCAGCTTTAAACACAAATATTTTTACATAGTCAGAATTAATGAGGAAAAATCATTGTTCCGTAAGGTTCTAAGGTATTTATTTATTTATTAATAGTGATAATAAAGTCTTTTAAAACATCTAATTGAAAACAATGAAATTTAAATTTCACCTTTAATATATTAATATTCATACAGTTTACAAGTAATTAAGGAAGCACTTACATAAACAAGAACTGTTTTTATCTTAATTATTTAATTTAAATTGCCCTGAATTATTAGTACAATTTGAATAAAATTCTTGTAAATTCACTTGAGTTGTGCAACATTAAATTCTCACGAGATAACCCATTATGATAAAAATTAAAATCTAACAAATGCAATGTCAACACTAGGAAGGTCGCTCGTGAAATAATCATAAAATCATATTGAATCCAATGTTCAAATATTTCAGGAATACAAATAACATAGAAACTAAACCATTTCAAATAACAATCATTACTAAAAAAAACTAAAACCAAATATTTCACTGATTGTGTTAGATTCAATAGACGTTTGGAACCAGTTAGGAACTTGCTACACCTCAATCATCAGCCTGAATGGGGCGGATACAATGGAGAATCCTAACGGACGGCAATGAAGCCAACTTAACACTATTATCTGAAACCGGTGCTCTTCATCCGGGAAAACATTCAGCAATATGTTGGCAGAACTGATAGGTACGAGAAAAACAGAACAGTTAACTGGAATAGTTGAATAATATTTTTAAAAAAAATATATTTTTATCACTTCTGAAAAGATTAAAAACAATTTTGAAAAATGTCTCCCACCCCCCCCCCCTATTATCCGAATCCCCCTAGCACAAACCCTATCAAACAAAACCCATCGATATAATCCTTCAAAAAGGTTAAAACGGCAGTGACCCCTCGACCTTTTTGGATATATTGGAGTTCCGGCAAGGGCCAGATTCTCCACTGGGTTTAGCGCCAGTGACGCGGTTCAAAGAGTAGTGAAGGGATCTCCTGGAGTCATGCTTTTCCCTCCACAGTTAGAGGGACAAGTCTGGCTCGGAGTTCCCTCGCTTGATTGCAAATAGTATATATAGGTATGTATGTGTTTCTTTGTTTTTATTTACTTATTTTTTTTCTTATTTATTATATTTTTTTTTTTCGGTTTTATTTATTTTTATTTATTGGACATAGAGCGTGAATGTGATCTCTGTACACTATTATAAATGTGCTTTGAGACAGATTGTAATATTTCTAAAAAATCAAGTTCTAAAACAAAATAAAATTTGCAAACTAAGAGCCATACTTCATATATATGGTGAGTACAATTTTCATAGAAACCCTTTATTAATCACATTGGGAATAAACTATACGATACCAATTAGTACCATAACCAGTACCACTCATTTCCATGAAAAAACATAATCATATTTTGAATCAATCAGCAGGAATTAGAACATTACAGTAGTATCCTAAAGATCCTGGAATAATAGCCTAAAATCGGTACACATAGCAGAAGGTTGTAAGTAAAATGAGCATCTTTCTTTTTTTTAATTTTTATTTAATGAGATTTACAACTGTATTACATAGAAAATACAACAAGTAAATGTGACATTGGTAACATGACATGTACAACATGAAGAGAAACTACCCATTGGTAGAACTCAAATTAAAGTTCTATATTAGAAGGTCCCGAGGCCATCTTCTCTTCAGACGCCTCGGAGGGTTATCAGGGATCGAGGAGGAAGCAAGGTTTGAAACGAGAGGATTCGGATGGTTCTGCAGTTTGTTATGGAAGGATGGGTATCTGGATTGGGCCAAATCGAAAACATATGGAACATTAAGGTCTTTATGGATGATTTTATTTGTGACAAAGTAAGGAGCGAATTCGAGAGGAATTCGATGGTTTAGTGGAGCCCCAAAGCTCAATTCCGTAAATCCAAATAGGCCTTATTATTGTTATATATATGAGTCGTTTGTAATTGCTTGAAAGCTTGGAAGCGTTTGTCTAGTAAGTGCTGTAGTAGTCCAAAACGTCGGGCGGTTTCTAGTCGTTTCAGTCTGGTATGGGGGTTTAATGAGCATCTTAAATTCTAAAAACAGGAGATTCCAAAAATATTTAATTAGCCCACATTTTGAGTAGTAAACATATATACAATTCCAAACCACCACAGCAAATTTCTTGAGATCCCATAACAGTGGGCACCTCTATGAAAAAAGTAGCTACCAAAAGATATAAAAGATTAGTCAGGTTCTACTTATGAAAACCATGAACGTAAAATAAAACTTGTTAAAATTAGTCTGCTGCCGAGTAACAGGGCCACCTTAACACGAAGTAAACGCCTGGTACCAAAAATATAGGTGGGTAAGCCGCCTGTCGGAGTAAGGCCGGGACCTGCAAGATTACTATCCTCAGGCATCTGTGGGCAGGCCAGTATCCTGAGATGTCACCAATGTTGTGGGTTAAATGAACTTCAAACGGTTAGTCGGAAAGACATTCCGAGGCACTATTGACATTCTAATTGATCGTGTAAGGTTAAGACCGATTCACTGATGGAATGACTGACGGATGGAAGGATTTTCTGAAATCACGAGACAAGAAGTCGACAACAATAAATTGTCAACAAATTTATTACTTTCCCAATATTTTTCCCTAATTTTTGTAAGTACTTGATTATTTAACTTGAGTCAAAACGATTTCCAGGCACTATAAAGTGATCTCCACTTTTCTCTTGATGTAGAAGGGCAAACATCAACAAAAGAAAAATGGCTAAATGTCTTTTTTAATGAAACACATTATTAATGGACAATGCACCAGATCCGTGGGGATCTGGTGCACTGCTTGGTATCTCAACGGCAACTGGGCTAAAATGGTGCCAGTCTGCCTGAAACGTGTTGGGATCATCATAATTCAAACAATCCTTGTCAGTCTTGTGACTGCCATTCATGACTGATCGTTTAGGGTTCACAAAAACAAACTCATCGATTAACAATAAATAAAATCCTACCCGTAGTAACATGAACTTAAATAATTACAATGTGAGAAGCAGCGCCATAATCAATGCAGCACGAAGAGCGTCCGTCAAGCACAAGGTTCTTAACAAGAAGGGTGTCGTAATGTCTAAGATCGGAGAGCGTAACTGGAACCGAGGCATTTCGTTACATAAAGCAGTTTGCATCTCGGTTTAAATTACCATTAACTACACAGTATATCAAACGTTAGGAACGAGGTTAAATCAACAAATGGCTTCATTAAAACAACGGAAATCTTTTATTCATAGGAAATACTGTTTATTATTTAATTTAATTCAATTTACTTTCACCGAGGAATAGAAATAAATAAACATAAGGCAGGCGTAGGCTCACTGGTATTTGTAGCTTTAGAGCATTTACATATTTCTCTCTCACGAAATATATTAAAAATTTCTACTTAATCGAAGCAGTCGGATTATCACGACGATGTCAAGAGCAATTATTAGTAATAAATTATTTTTTAACTTTACTAAACTGATTTACTAGTTTTACGTGACTTCCCTTTCATAAATTTAACTTAGGAACTATTTATGTTAAACCAATATTGATCAATAATGAGATCAACTAGCAAATCAATAATGAGAAACGAACTAGTTTTCACGGTCGTTGGACTGAAATCTATATCAATAACCTAAAGATCAAGAGCCTATTACAACTAAGAGACCAAAAACATGAATTCGGCATAAAAAGGTTTTGAAAATGGGTCAACAATATTTTTTTTTTAAATATTTTTTACTAAGTTAAATTTCTAAACGTGAAATTCTTCCTTTCACGCGTGTGTCTCCATACACGATCGATTTATTAGTGATAAAAAAATATAAATAATCATTTGCCACAGTTTGACCTGAGCCTGGACTGAGTAGTCCACTTGCCAAATGACTAAATTAATATAAATTTACTACTTATAGCCCTCCAACAGTGGCTGATTGTATTATTATTCAATAAATATATATATATACATATATATATATATATAAATTTACTGTTACTTGAACATCAATCGATATAATAGATTGGGTCTATTTTTAGACATGAAGAAGTCTCAATTTTCTCTTTAATTAAAGGGACACGAGGTAATAATAATAATGACAACCAGGAGGCAAAAATCCAAGGAAGTCAAATGTTAACGGGCGGAACATGCACTGCCATCAACAATAACCGAGAGAAAGTTCAAGATTTTCCCAAGTGCCCATTCCGACCAGTAGATCCCGCACAACCGAATGAATCCAATATTAATGTTCATGATGAAGCAAGGAGGAAACACCACTGAAGTAAAAACGATGTGAGAAACAGTTAAGCAAACATAAACATGGGTTCCGTGATATCTAAGAAATTACAACAAACATGAGTTTAAATTACTCTATCTATACCCCTGCAATCGTAGTTTTCTTAGCGCATTGACCTTAATAATGTTGGTACTGAAGGACGCGACTCGACCTTCTACAAAGAAACAATGAATAATTACTATCAGTATACATATCTCATTGTAGTTCTCAATAGTTTAAGATAAGATAATCGCTGGTTAATTTTAAATTGAGGGATCTCAAACGAGAGATAAACCTATTGTTTTCAAACAGGCAGTTATCAGGAACAGCTTCAGAACTGACGAATCTGATACAAATATAAATATAGATTTCTAGTTTCAACAACGTGAGAGGCGCATGGGAAGATTCTTATCATATCTTCAATTATAACGATTTTGAATAAGATCCTCAAACATCACAAGAGGTAAAAACAGTGCAATTTTTTTACCCGTAAAGCAGCTACTGAATCAAAAAATACCAATGCCTCATCAAACCTAATGGAAATCGCTCATAAATCCTAAACATCATTACGTAACATTATCGCGATTATTCATGTAAGAAAATGCTTAAATTTAGTAGAAATTAAGAGGACAAATTGCCAAAAGTCAAGTATGAGATAGAGGACAAACGATGCCAAAATGATACATATCTCCAAGCTAATTCAGCCACTGAGTCATTAGAGCGTGGGAGTTCTCTAGGTCATCGTACTCGAATTTCCTCAACTCATGAAGCAGCGCTCGATTTTTCGATGGTAAACTCCTGTTAATTAAATAACATTTATACTAAAACAGATTTAACAAGCAGATGGTTAGCTTTTAATATGTAATATATGAGTATAAATATAGAAATTTCACTTACAACAAAAACATATTTAGATAATGTAAAAAAAGTTCATGGTTGGATTAAGACCATTAATTCGGATGACAGAGAAACATTGTTACATAATTGTAAAAAAATAATATTTTTTTTTAATACTTATTTATTGAAAAATATTACAATCTGCCTCAAGGAAATTTATAATAGTGCTCAGAGATCACATTCACACTCATGTACAATAAATAAAATAAATTAAAAATAATATATATACAATAAATAAGAAAAATATAACGCATACAACAACTGTTTTATTTGTTTGTTTTATTGATTGTTTATCTATTTTTTTTTTATTATCAACTGATCAAAATTGGAAAGCAACTTATATGTATATGTGCGTATATATATATATATATATATATATATATATATATATATATATATATATATATATTATTTTTTCACCAAGACTGTTTAATTACTCTGTATTTTTATTTATGTATCTCTGAGGCTCCTTAGCCCTCATTTCTGTCTTCCTGTATTATTCCAAAGGGACTCGTCCCAGAATAAATAAAGTATTATTATTATTATATTATTAAACCAATAAATAAAAAGAACACATACATACCTATATACAATAAATTAAAAAATTAAAATATTCCTTGAAAATAATTCATATTTAAGACGGACATCTGTCATTTTTAAAAAGTTGATAAAAAGCCAATTTTATTTCCTTTCTAATGATTATTTTTTGAAATTCATCTTGAACATAGTAAATAAAATCATCATTCTGTTTTATAGGTCCAACTCTAAACTATTACTGATGATTTTATTTAAGAATGTTCAAAGTTGAATTTCGAAAAACAATCATTAGAATTGGTCTAAATTAGGGGGAAAAAAGCGTACTATTACATAATATTTTAGCTAATGTCACACTTTTTTTTCCCTACTCTTACGTTTATTATCTTATACATTCCACTACTTTTCGTTCTTAATTCATTTTTCATTTCTTATGTTACATTATTTCGATTATGTTTATTTCATTAGTCTTTACTTTGTTGCCGTTATTACTTATTACTTAGTTCTCTGTTATTGTTATTATTTTACCTACTTTATTGTTCACTTTATCTACTTTTAAGTTATTCCAACCTACAGTTTTTAGTCTATACCTGTCACCTTTTTAATTTTAATTCTTTCTTATTCAATGTTTATAGTTTCTCACACCTATTGTCATCTATTTTTTTCTTAGCCCTGATCAAAGCCTGAACTATAGGCCGAAACGTCGGCAAAAATAAAAATAAATACAATTATTAATTTTTACTATATATTTTTTTACTGATCACTCCAAACATTCTTCTCTTCAACTATTCTATATAGCCGACCATCAATCCACAATTATAATTTAATAATAATTATTTCTAAAGGGTGTTTATAATAATAATTGTAGAACGAACTATTTTTAATAACATCCTTCCTCCTTTTCAGAGGATGTATGAATAATCGAGTGAGTATTCGTTGTTCTCGTGAAGCACTACCGAACATTTATATAGAAATGATGTTCATGTTAAGCATATATTATTATTATGTTTTTAAAAAAGATAGAAAGAATGATTAATGATATGGAAAGCAAAATAATAAAGAGAGCACAGAAGTGTCTCCACGTTCACTCGAGATGACTAATACACACTGCCGGGGTCGTTTGTCATATCTTGATGCCCTGTCATTGAAACCATGTCATCCAATAATGACACCTATGTAACAATTTCTACCCTTTCAAAAGCGAGTTTTAACACACCATCAAGACAAACCATCTAAACAATAAAATCTTTACTTTCAATAAGTTAGTGTGAATGTTATCCTACCTCACTATAACCGATGTCCAAGAGACAGATTGTTGTAATATTCAATAAATAAAAAAAACTTTCAATATGAAGAATCTGAAAGTGAAAAAATCAAAACAATTGACAAAAATTATTTACAAAGCCGTGAGACTATTTTAAATACCAGTAAATAACTAATCAACTATGTTTCGTCAATTCAAACATTATTCGGACACACACAAAGGCCTTTGTTATGGAGCCATACAACAATTTACTAATAATCTATCTACATAGATAGTAATATTATAATTACTAATATAAATATCTACCTATGGGAGAACTCTTGCATTAAAGACCTACCTTATAGTCCATTATGAATCTCTAGAAGCTATTCTTTGTTTAACTTTTCAATAGAATTTTGGCTTATCACCACATACTAAGTTTTCAAAAATCTGAATATTATGTTTGATAATATTGGGGCTTGACCCATCTTTCGGTTAACTCGAAAATTACATTTTAGGTATTAGTACGTTCTAAATGAACAATTCCAACTTCAGGTTTTTAAAACTTAAACCCTACTTGTTTCATTAACTTTAAGTTGTAGAACAAATTTAAAGATAGAAATTAGGATTCGTCATTTCTGGATGAAATTCCTGTCCAATAGATAAACATAAAACTCGTTCACCAAAACACTCATAAGATCGAAAAAGACATCTTTACTACAGAAATATATGTATAGTTAATCATATCATACATTACTAAGTATAGTAAGTATTAGCAAAAAACCACATAATCAGACCCTATATGCCAATTCAAAAAGAAAAACGTTCATTTTTAGTAAAAAAACAAAATCAGAAACTAATTCTACAATCCCCTTATGTAAATTAAACATTTTTTATTTTACGTATTCAATCAAAATCAGACTATAAAGCATACATAAATTAACATTAAAGTTTCAAATTTGTGGACAACAAATGTAATATGCAGAAACAATTATCAGCAACAAGACTGGTATCAATGAACTATTGGAACAAAACAGAGCATCAATTTAGCAGCAGATCTTAAACAAATTAAACGTAAGGAGTCAAAGAGGGAAACTCAACACACTGAACTAAACAAAAATATATAATAAACTGAGGAAATTCTCCATATAAATAGAAACTGGCTAGGAAATAGACATTAAATATCAATGATCTTTTGGTTATTAAATACAGTATTATAATAAATTTAAATTGTTTACAAATCCCATAGTCAAACATAGATTACTTCAAAGTAGATTGCAAGATACAAGATTACATTATTTTCATTTTCATACTATATAAAACAAACATATAAAATCTCTATTTGGAATTATTTAGTTTCTCAGTAAATGTTAACATTATTGGTAATATTATTATAAAGTAAACAAAGAATGAGTAAATGAGGTTTCATAGTCACAGGGAAGTAAATACAAATTTATTAAACAATGAAATAAACATCTATTCGTGACAAACTTATTTATCTGTTCGTAATGTTTACAATTTAAATGATCCTAAACATTCCATTCAAGTAATGTAGTTTTAAACCAGTTAAAAAACATTTAATAATAAACAGTAGCTAACATTACGTTTTTCTGATGACAGTAAAAAAAAATATATAGATGTATATTAAAAACCCTATTTGATAATAACGATAAGTGCTTGGAGAAACAGTCTAGAAATTTCTTTTATTTTTATCCAATCGCTCATGACGAAATCTCGATAATTCCTTTTTTATTTTACAGATATCAATTGGATCTACTGAAAGCTAGAAGAGATTGGCGGAGTGAAGAACTGATGGTTCCGGCACGTCTATGGCAGCAATGTGATGGTATTTCATCAGCTTCCGGGTGGACGGCAGGAAACAGTGCGGTTGGAATGAAGCACAACCATAGCCAAACCAGGAGTCCGCCATTAACCATTATGCAATTTTCTCGGTAACATTATCAACATCGCTACTCAACAGTTAGCAAGAATTTTTTTCTTCATAGTCAACTTTTTCTTTGTCAAGAATGTAATTTTTATTTATAATTTTGAATTTAAATAAAATGTTATTTGAGTTCTACCAATGGGCAATTTCTCTTTATGTTGTACATGTCATGTTACCAATGTCACATTTACTTATTGTAGGTGTGAATGTGTTTTATTTGTTTTGTTATTACTCGGCTGGTCTGTTTTTTTTAATTATCTTGTATATTACTTTATCTCTTTTTATTTATATATATATATATATATATATACTTCTTTTTTTTTTTCCTTTCTTATGTACATATTGTGTGAATGAATACTATCGCACTAGTACCAATGCCCTTCAGTGTGGCAGACTGTATTAATACTCAATAAAAGTTTTTTAAAAAAAATGATTGTATTTTCCATTTAATACAGTTGTAAATTTCAATAAAATAAAATAAAATGTTATATCGTTCGTAAGTTCAGTCTCTATGTTATTTAAACATACTTGGCATACCAAATACAGTATTTCCCACTGCGTGAAAGGACATGAAATTACTTCCTTCTGTAACTATGTTCTCTCGCCTTGAAAAGGATAACCTCAACAACCTAAGGTAAACATAGCTTTAAAAAATTGCGCTGAAGACTTTGATGATGGAACACTAATACGACCAAGTAAAAAAACACTTGGTAATAACCAGTAAAAAATATAAACATATTGACGCCATCAAACGGAAAACAATATTACTACTATAATTGGAGAGAAGAATAGTTGGGGCGATCAGTCAAATAAGAAGGCAAAAATAAATGATACTATTTATTTTGACATTAGCCGACGTTTCAACCTGAAGTTCAGGCCATCATCAGGGCTGATTACGGAGATGTAAATCTAGGCCTGAACTTTAGGTCGAAACGTCGGATAATGTCAAAATAAATAGTATCATTTATTTTTGACTTCTTATTTGACTGATCACCCTAAATATTCTTCTCTCCATTATTCACGACAGTCAACCATTTACCAATTATGAATACTATTATAATTACTACTTTAAATCAAGAATACTTTTTAACTGTTTATTTTTTTACAGTCATAAATTATTAGATTTGATTAATTATGCGAGGGAAAAAAATACCTATAGACGTCATCCTCTTTATTCTTAACTGGCAGTAAACTAATAAATTTATTAGGACTGTAAATATGTCCTTGGGTGGTAGACGATAATAAATCAGAATTTCACAAGGATGCTTTATCGTTTATGTAACTAACTACATGTTAATGGCCAAAAATTAAGGCGTTGAAAACGTTGGGTATACAGCTAAAAACAGAAGTTTATACAAGCAAAGTTGAAAAAAAAAATGTCTTCAGTCTCTCAAGCACCAGTAAATAACTAAACAATTAAGTTTTCGCCGATTCAGGCAACAGAAGAAAATATGACAATATAACCATATTTAAAAAAAAAAAACTCTAAACTCAGACAATTCAGACAACTTCAAGGTAATTTTGTAAAAGAAATGACAAACGGTACAAGTAGGAAATTTTTGAAATGATAAACAAAAAATTAGTGAGACTCACGGTTCCATTTTAAGAATTTCATTAACTGAATTACAAGAATTTAAAAAGAAAGTTAAAAAGGAAAGTGACTGAGATTTAAAAAAAAAAAAAGAATGATGACAAGGGCTGAGGAACAGCGACCTACTGACCCAATCAATCCACAACTTTCTAAGCAAGTACATTTCCCTGCCTCCGCAGCATCCCACTTTGTCGCAGTTTGTCACAACATTAAAGGGGACATCCAATAGAAATTGCCGAGACTAACAACCAATTGGTTTTGGAGGAAGGGAATCAAGGAGTACAAGTAAATGGTCTTAATACTGGCACTTACCTCTTTTCGATGCTGGGACGGTTTCACATTGAAGCAAGGGTAACAACCTCCCGTAATGCACCACGCGGTCAAATATAGGAATGCCATTCAGGAATAGGAATCGATCCGGCCAAGGGCAATGTAGTAATGAGGCTTATCGAAGCGGACATATCGGGAAGGGCACACACAAACAAAGTTTATCTAAGCAACTAAACGATACAGTTTCAGCTTACGGAGAAGAAATAGACCGAATCCGAAGATAACTCCAAAATCGAATATAATATAATTTATATAATATAATATAAATGAAATATATATTTCATATATTCATATTCAAATATATATCAATATATATTTCTACATCGGTATACATCTGTAACACTATGTTGGCTGATTTTCAGAAGAAAAATGATGAACTGCTTTTGACGAAACCATTTTTCAATTTTTGCTGCACATGTTTAAAGTTTTAATCTTGAAACAAAATGATGAAGGATTAAATAATATACATTTGATACACTTAAAAAAAAAGGCTAAATAAACTTAAATTCAACTTCATATTTTTGAGTAAAAAAAACAACGTTTTCCACTACATCAAGGATCATGGGTTCAGTACTGTGTAGGCTACTGTAGCATAACATAAGTACTGATTCATGGTCAACTATTTTGGAAGGAGGTGATTTTATCAAGATCATGCTCAACCGCCAAGTTTCACCTCCCAATCAATTATTTAATTAAGAGTACCCACTTTATAAAGGATTGGGGTGCATACGAGGGTCTCTCGTACCCGAGGTTCGGTCAAGGTACGATGAAACAGAATAAACCTAGGACCTTAAGCACTAGATGTCAGCGCCTTACCATTAATCTACCCCAGTCTCTATTTTACTCCTAGCCACAATAAACAACCAATCACAAGATTGAGATAAAAAGCGGACATACAGAAATTTTATTGTTATAAGAAGACCAATAAAGATCAATAAATATCAGTAAGATCAGTATCAGCCTGGGGTGTGTCGTTAAATAGTTAAAATCTTTCTTGCACCAGCTGGTCATCGAATAGAGCTAGAAACTTGAGTTTGAAGTTTATAAGTTAGAATCGGGATAATTTTACTTTATCTTTACGGTTTTTGGCGAACTCAATAAGACAGGATTATTTTTCTGTATGTGGACAATTTCATCGCCAGGTGATCTAACAGCGGGCTATTCAACGCTCCCTGGAGGACTGAAACCTATTGTTAATAAAAAGGCTCTACAGTAAAACAACAAGCTTTGCGTAAAATAAGAAATAGTTTTGTTATAATCAATATATTATCTATCTGTATTTCATTCAAAAGCGATGAAAGGTCACATAAATAAGTTAATATACTGTTTTCGGACAACGCTATGTGTTCGATGTTATCGTTCAGGAAGGAAGGGTGGCGAACTAGATAGTCCCGACATTGAATATGACTCAAAGTAATGTTTCACAACTGAGAAACGTTCTCAAAATTAAAAATTATGAAACGATACCTCAGTTATTTTGTTCTTGATTCATGATCAAAATGCGACGAGATATAACATTTTTATAAATTTGACGAATACAATTTTGATATCTCAGTAAAGCGCTGCAGTCATCAACGAGAAGTAGGAGTTTGTTGTTTGATTTTCTTAAAGCATGAGGCAGAAGAGGAAAACATTGGAAGGATGCCAAATGGACCTTCCAAGTCCAAAAACAGGAGCCATTTTATAAGCTGCAGGCTTATGGTTTATAAAATAACTGGTACGATATAATTTAATTTATAACTACATACAAATCGCTATAATCGATATAACAGTGCGGTCAAAACGTACTACGGTGCATCGGTAATAATAGTAATAAAAAATCAACGAAATAATTTAAGATTGACAACTATATCAATAACTCAGACAAGATAGATTATTACCGAACTCAACTCCTCAGATTTTGAAGAACCTTAGCAAAATTAATTCAATTATAATCCTGAAAACACCAGCAACACTGTTTTGTTCTTTTTTAATTCTTTTATTTATTACAATATTTTTCTTTTTAGTGACGGTACACAAAACCATTGAACTAATGACTTTAACCTCCAGTCCTTTTATTTTTATTTTTATACCTTGGAATATATATATATATATATATATATATATATATATATATATATATATATATATATATATAATATATATATATTATAGTAGAAGTACAGTAGACACAACTTGATTAAGTAGCACCAAAGGGATCTATCATTTCAAAAAAGAAAGAATCAAAAAACTGAAAGTTTTGGGATGAAATGGAAACAGTATTTTAAGTAACTGTTAAAATGCGAAAATGCACAATATCAAATTTCTGTTTCGTACAATTTATTTTTTAACCTAAGTAGTACTCATTTGAAAATATTTTCTGTAGTGTACAGTAAATATAGATGTAATAAAGCCACTTATATATTTTGTTCAACTAATATCCAATATACTAAAAAGTATTTAAAATTCTAATTTGAGTATTCCATCCCAAATTTCAGACAGAAAAGGAAAATAAATGTTTTTAAATTCTAAAAAAAATAATTTAATTTCTAAAAGATGATACTTCAATTTTTTGGTGAGATTGAAATAGGTTAATAAGTGAAGTTTTCGCAATTTTACAGTACATCATACCGCAAAAATTCATGATGAAATCTTCAATAAGCTGCGATTTTCGCAGTTTAGATAGAATCCTATTTAAAAAAATATTAAATTAATTTAAGATTTAATTATAAATAGTAGGGTAAAAAACGTTTGCATGTGTTATCAGGATAACACTGTATAATAAATGGGTGATTTGGCATGGAATGACTTATATCCCTTACTATTTTATGCTGTATTTAAAAAACGAATATGTACGTATATATATTTTATACTAATACTGAAGAAGAAATTGAAACGAAAAGTGGCCAATAAATCAGAGAAGAAAAAAAAAAGGACCTAAAAGTATTTCGGAATCAACGCAGATAATCAAACCACATCTCTCTCCTTTTCCCAGATGAGTTTGCAACAGGAAATGTCAGAGATATGCAGTTTCCGTAGGGGACAAATACAGGTAGCGGAATCCCTAACAATATAACATATCTACTCCAACCTTACAGAAAAATGCTTTTTTAACTTATCAGTATTATAAAAAAAAATTAGGTTTCACGCATTGCTTTCTGGTTATCCAATCATACGATCAAATGTCAAATGACATATTCATGTCTTTCATTTTGTTTGTGTATAAATGAATTAATATTAGAAATCTTGAGATTAAACTGAAAAGTGGGCTAGTGAAAACTGTTCCGCGTAAATCTCGGCTTGGTCACGGGTTGCGTTGGTATCGGCATTCGTTCGGTTAAACCACTCGACTTTCACCTGGTTCAGAACATCAGCTTCCTCTCTTTTGTTTACTAATACTTCACAGCTCATGGATCGCCTCTTCATCGCAACACTTGGCTCTTTATTATTTATAAAAGTGAAAACAGTAAGAAAGTTTGACGGTCGGTAAAAACAAAAGATGTAAAATTCTGGACACCAGAAAATTTCACATTAACAGTTTATAAAAAAAAACGGTAAACCCATGTGTTTTCTGTCATGGGTTGGGTTCAGTACTATTTAGGGAAAGTACGGTTACAAGACCAACGGTTGTGCAGGGAGGGAATCGGACCAGGATCACGCTCAACCGCCAGGTTTCCCCCCTTAATTAATTATTAAATTAAGGGTACACACTTTGTAGAGGCTTGGTGTGTCCCAGGAAGATCTCCCTAACCCATGGTCGCCCTACGGCCAATGAAACAGAATAAATAATTTTTCTGCCATAAACCGGTATTCAAACCTGGGAACTTGAGTATTAGAAGCTTAGTACCCTACCACGGAGCTACCCCGCTCACCAAAAACAGTTTACAAGAAAAATATTTATCGGTATGAAGTGTTAAATTTACTAGTATTCTCCAAAAATGTATTTGTATATTAAAAACATATAAATAAATAAAAGTAGATTATAGAGTATTATCAAGTATGTAAACATCGGATGAGAAAAATAAACTAAGATTAAACGCCTAAATCTGGACGAGAAAAACTCTATAACAAAGGAAGCCGGTAAGTTGGTGAAAATTTTGTTTTGCTCAACTTCAAAATTTATAAATATATTTTTAAAATAACAAATTAATAAAAAATATTACAGACAATTGAGAATAATGACTGTTTCTAAGAAGTCTATACGTGTTTCGGTGTAAAAACTATTATATAATAAGTTACTGGTAATATTCTAGTAAAATGATACCTTAAAAAAAATAAATAATAATAAAAACCGGAACACTTCCTCGAACTACAGTATTCAAGTCTAGTTCCGATTCACAGGTTTTCATACCCGCGTTACTGATATATTTTATACCTCTTCATTAATCTTATATTATCTAACGAAACAAACTAGTGAACAGCGAAAGCGTTACAGTATCAAAAAAACTTTCCGTTCCGAATGATTAATAACAAGACAAAATTCTCATGCGATCTTAAAGAAATGAAATACAAACAGTTTTTGTCTGTTTACTATTTAACAAAGACTCCTTTGGAAAACTTTTTAAAAACAAATCAAAAGACAGCAGTATCACAACACTCCCCGAAAATTGTATTCTTTGAGAATGATGCAAGTGAATCTACCCTATAATTTAGTCAGCTAGATCAATAAGGTTCTTGTTACTTATTCATAGACAGTTAGGAACAGAATACATTTGTTCGGGATGAATAAAAAAGCAGTTGACTAAATTGTTGTTCCCTAGAGAATTTCCAGGAGGGAAGTCAAGGGAGAAAAAAGAAAATACTTTTACAGTGAAATTAAAAAAAAAAAATATGGGATGAGACTTTAATACGAAAAAAAATCGTGTATTACAATAATTTATCATTAGTCAACATTTCAAGAAAGATATTAAAAATTTAGAATTGATTACTGATGAAACAAGAAACATGATCGACTCAACTATTTTTGGCTTATGAAGGTTCAAAATTAAGAATGACATAAGAAAAAAAATATATATAAAATACTTTTATCATTATTTTGATAATAGGAATCAGTACTGTACCAATGCAAAAGTCGGATTAGAAAATATAAAAATGTTATTTCAACACACATTGTGTAATTAATTTTTTTTTTTTAATTGAGTATTATGTCAAATTTTAATTATACTTCAGTTCTTTTTGTTCCATACTCAATTTAATTATACTCCTCAAATTTAAGTAAATTCGACGGTGCCTAGTGAAAACATAACAGATTGTTCTGCACTATTACTAGGATTATTATAATTTATTTAAGTTTAACTATCATTTATAATAGAAAAATCGTACAATATATAAAACATTCCCTGATTAAAATTTCATAATAATGAAAGAATTCCAAGAACTTCCACTGTTGAATGTGAACAATGTGAGAGGACCATAACCGAAAAAAAAAATAAAAATTGAGTATAGACATTAGCCGTATGGTTTCTACCTGCGGCGTGAGGCTGGGTTGTGTAAGACATAGAGCTGGTCTGCCGGAGACTCCTGCATACCTAGAAAGAAACCGGTTTGGGCGACCACCGAAGTAATTACGTCATACAAGAACAATGACGTAAGCTTTTGCAAATAAAACAAACTAATGTGCATAAATTATAGATTATCGAACTGTTATGCGGTTTGAAGCATATTAGACTAAGTTGTAGTGTAATTTGATACAACACAAAACCTAAAACATGTCATTCATTGAATATATTTCACACTTCGGGAGAGATAAGGGAAGGGGAAATTGAAGAGATTAATAAATGCAAGAATCACAAGTAAAATACCAGGATGTGACGCGAGCGGACAAATCGATATTCAAGGAGCATTAGATGAGATCAGTATTCAAAGCGAAGGGGCGGAAGAGATGCGGCGGACGAAAAGGCAATGTTTAGATGTCAGTGAATGGATACCGGAGGGGAAATTTTTATGAGCCATCAACCGAAGGAAGAGGACTTCTCCCATCTCCGAGTATGGAGATGAACTTATTTGACATTCACTATAAATTGTCATTTGAAAATTAATTGATAAAACTAAAATATAACTTTAAGATGAGAGAGAGAGAGGAAAATAATAAAAGAATTAGGGTTAAGGTTTATAGCACCTTACAAGTTATTACTTAAAGCGGTCCCTATAGAAGAGGTCCAGTAAGACATAAACAAATTAAATATAAAAAGTCTTTAAACTCTCGAGTTCTTGACTGTATAGTCGCTTTCCACAGTTAAAATATAGCAAAAGCAATATAATTTACAAGGCAATAGGAACTTTCATACTCAGCTCCGTAAGGGAATGAGTCGTAAAGGGGAAAAGAAACATGAAACCAAGATATTTCCTCTTGGAATATTATGTTGAGGAACTTCGCTCCGGTTACTGACTGTTAGTGTTAAAATTTCATTGGTTTAAAAAAAAAGAAAAAATAGTATTTCACATCCTTAAAACATTCTTCGATAACTTCTTTATAAATTTAATTCAAATAAATAATATTGTCTAAGTAAATCAACTAGGCATGAATCAAAACAAATTACAATATCATATTTAAACATTTATGATACTATAAATGGTTTCAGTTCATTCCGTAGGACGTAAAAATGTTCTTCCCTTTACTTATTTAAAGTATTAACATTAATTAGTTTTCTTTTCTCTTGTATGATACATTTATCTTGTCATTAGATTAGAATGTCTATAATTCTTATGGCATTAACACAATAATATGGAATTGGTAATCTGGTTTTTATTGAACTCTTTAAAGATTAAAATATTAATTCTTTGCAACATCGAAATTAGTAGGATAGGATGAAGAGCCGATATCCATTAACCTCCTTACCTGATGGTTCCGACGGGACGCATGAGTCCTGTGCCTGAGGCCTTCCCTCAACTTGGCGGTAGGCTTGCGTGTCGGTTCAGGGCGGTCGGGCTCCACGGCGGAGAACCTCTTGTTGGTGATGACAATGGAGCTGGCCGGAGGATCGCCTCGGGTACTCTTGCTCCTCACAAGTAGCTTCAACATCGGACCTGGTCTCATTTCATCCTAGTCCTATCACAGAATATCCAACCACACGCACAACTCAACTGTACTAACTCCCGTCGTGTTGAGAGTTCGGTTCGTCCAGGCGGCTCGGTGAGCCACCACTGGCCGGTAGGCGGGTGGTGGGGAGGTCTTCCCCTCCCAGAGGCGGCCACGGATGCCTCCTACAGGTTAACCTGCGACAGCGCTCGCCCATTGTCATACGGTGTCATTCAGTAGATACTGTTTGAATGCGTTCATTGTTAAACAGTATCTATGCTAATTCACTATTGTCTTCGGAGACCCACTTAAAAAATAAAATCAAAATATCCTTCAAAAATCGTATTTTGCATATGCAACCACAACAAAGAACACATACTAAAATACCCTTTGTGAAGAAAACACCATTTATCACATGGCTCAAACTTTAAATACAAACAGTAGAGCGTCAACCATGTAAACCTGCAAAATATCTTAATGACACTTAGCAAAAAAATGAAATTATTTATATTAAAAGCCAAATTTCGGCCCAACTTTGCGTTTATTCTTCAGGGCTAGAACGGACAATATACAAAAACATAGAGAATTGTGGAAGTTACATAATATTTAGTCAAAACATAAACAATGTGAATAAGCTTATTAAAATTATAAACAGTAAGTACATTAAAATGTCCCTCTCTATACTTCTAAGTTAGTTCTGCAATGTATGTATGTAAATGAAGTTATTTCTATATTTATGTTTTACTTCTTCCATTTTTGTTTTTATTCACACGGTACTCTTTATCTATAATTTCATAATTCTATTATATATATATATATATATATATATATATATATTTATAATTTAATATTTCATAGATATAGTACTTTTCCATTGTATCCATCCATATCTTCAAATTTTAGATACTGTAATATTCTAGGTTTTTCCCTATCGCCCAAACAAGTCAGCTTCCCCTATACCTGGGCTTACCCTGGTTTTCCAGTTATAAGTGAAACTCCTAGCTGAACACACCTGTAAATCTCTAATTTTATTCTTCCAATTTTATTTACTTATTTATTTAATTTTTTGATTTTGTTTTTTCTTTTCTTTCTCCACATTCCTTTATGTCTATTATTTCATATTATATCCTTTTTGCTTTTCTTTTAATCTCTCTTGTATATCTGTAGAAGTATGTTCACATTTTCATTTATTATATATTACACTACAATTGTTAGCATTTATTTACTTCAGTTTAGGATCTTGTTACTTAGCTTACTCTGTTTATATTTTAATGTACTTCCACAATTCTCTATCTTTTTGTGTCTTGTCCGTTCTAGCCCTGAAGAAGACCTGCAAAGTCGGGTAGAAACGCTGGCTTTTAATAAAAATAGTTTTACCACTATTCATCCTATTTATGACCGCCACTCCGGATTATCTCCTTCCTTTATAATGCAACGCTCAACTATTAAATATTCGATAAAACAATGAAATTTTTGGAACCATAATTTGGTGATAACTTTAAGCTACAAGTTGGTGCGGATAATAAGGATAGTATATTGGTCAGTTAATGCAACGTACTACATCATCCGATGAAGGAATCAATTTACAAAAGAAAAATAATTTTGAACATCATATATGCTAATAAACAAAAACATGCTTTCAAATTGCCATAGACTGTATGCATTGTAGCTAATAGAATTCGATGTTTTTATTTGAAGAATATTTAGTAACTTTTAAAAGAATAAACTTGTTTCCTGAATTTCAGGAGAATGTGACTATCATTTGATAGGAGAAGATTACTTTTTAAAATAAACTTTAATTGGATTGAAGCTCCAACTAAAGCCCACTTGTTAGATCGAGTTGAAAGTTGTTATCTTATAAGGACTGAAATTTTTCAGCCAATAGGAGAAAACAAATTGGTCTCGTGGCAATATCTATCGGACCAACAAATACATATAAAAATCGCGTATCCGACAGGCGCACTGGGTATACCAAACCGCATTACGAACAATCCGGGACTCGAATTACATCGGCAATAAGAGTATTGAGAATTTCACTCTTACCATAAAGAATTACCATAAAATAATATCAAATTCATTACACGGCGATGAACCGTAAACATAAATAATAATCGATGTGAATGAACAAAACTTAGCGCCATGGCAGAATTTCGAAAATCATATCGTTGGCACCATGCTAAAGTAACGAAGTGAGCATGTTTAACGTTGCACATTAATTACTTAAGCGTGGTGCCGACGAAATGTAGAGTTGTTTTAAGTATAAAAAATAAATAATTTATTGTTTTCTAATATTTAAAAATTTGTGCAGCAGCATGGACGAAAAAATATTAACAAATTTGAATAACTATCAAAAAGTAACTTCAAAGCCAATAACTCCAAGTATTTCAAAACGATACTATCTTTAACTATTAAGATAAACATTGGTTCTTTTAGCACTAAGTACTGCTAATACCAGTCGTAAATAAAGTAAGAAGGTAAAATATAAAGAACGGTTAAACAAATAAAATAAAATCTGGTGCGCGCAACAGACAACTTTCAATTTTCGCTCTACTTGAATATAAATTATTTTCGGGTAATGTTGGGCTATTATACGATTGTTTAAGTGCATTTTTAACCGAGCTAAACTAAAGCTCAAAGCTTCAGTTAAGAAATTATTAATACCATTAAAATTACAAATATCCTATTTATTATATCGAGGACTGATTATGGGTTGTACGATCCGTGGATTACGGATTGGTTAGTCGTTTACTAAAAGAGAATTACATAGCCTGTCATAGATAGGCGAAACGTTGTCACATTAATTGTAAGTGGATACTGTTGAGAAATCACAAAGGGATCATTTAATTTCCTTAGAAACATGTGATTTACGCTAAATAATGGTAGTTTTCAGAAATTATTATTTACATTTATTTCGTCACACTCCGTTACCTTCTAGAACTTAATTTATTAGATATTATCTTTTCTAAAAGTCTCCACTCTCCAACGATATATTATATCGTATACCTTCTGACTATTATTTCCGGAGATTCATTTTCGACCTAGATAAGCATTTTTCTTTTTTTTCTCCTTTATTCAATTATCAAATTCTTTCAAAAGTTATATTTAGCCATATTTTATAGTCTTTGTCAATAAGAGTGTATTTTTTTTTCAAATTAAAGGTACTTTAGAGGAAGAGGTATAATAAAATTGGGCCTTAAAGCCTTGGACAATGACATCAAGGTGGATAAAACTCAGCTGATATTGAAAATAACGTAATAATACACTGATATACCCAGTTTAATAAAAATCGTTGAGAACCGTTGAGAAAATCGTAAAAATGTGCATCACCCTTGATATAAAGTGACACTGCAGGCAAGCCGATTTTAACGAAAAAGTTGCTGTCACATTTTGCGGGACTTGGTTATGTGGACTTAAAAGACCTCAAAACATGTATTTTCGATGAAAATTCAGATTTGAAAATTTTCATGATCCAAATACTTAGTCTTACTATATATTTCATATATGGGTAAGTGATAGTAAAAATAGATTTGAACTATTATTAGTAAGTTCCAAAACTCTTATAAAATGCAGGTAAAAAAACATTCTTCATGTTTTTCTAATTCGAAAATTAGCAATAAACGAGACCTAAGATATGAAAAACGGGACTTTCATTTCAATGAGAGGTAAATCAACTAGGCATGAATCAAAACAATGACAGTATTATATTTAAGTCCTCTTTGTTAATCACTTTGTTTTTACGTGGTAATTTACATTATTTGAGTACGTGGCTATTCCAGTTTGAAATGATTTATTACCAAATTACTTGAGGATTCGTGGGAGTATCACTTAATAACAAATAGCTATTTCAGTAACTGAGTCTTGCCAATACAAGCAAAGATCTATGAATACATGCACACACTCGTGATAAATTAGATGCAGTTACTACATTCCCCCGTAGTGTATCCTAACAGCGACGTAATACAACATAACCAGGAGAGTACAAAGAACCACAACAATGAATCAAATATACGTCCCTGGGAGGGACGGAAGATATATATTTTTGGAACCGTAAGTGGATTGAGGCCAGGTAATAAATAAACCAAACGGTTCATACCGGGGAGTTGTTCCTTCCATACCGCGGTTTCATATCCTCTGCCAAGATCAATTATACTCTCGGCGGATCGGGTGGCTGATAGAGCAGCGGTGTCGAAACCGTAGATGAATGGAAGAGACTTCGACCAGATACTAATCGTTCAGAGTTTCTTTGTTCATTTTCTCGCCCTGTTCTATTTTCGCTCTCTCGGTTGAGAATATTTACTGAGAGAGGGGGCATCCGGGACCTCGACTCCCAGGAAGTGATAGTTTTATCATTCTTCACCCTATTCATTTCCAAAACTTACCAAAATCATAGAAAGGCAACCATAGATAACACTATTTAATTTTATAAATGTGATCGTGAAACTTATAGTAATACTCAGTGAATCCATGATTTTATTTTCTGAGAATTCATCGTAGTGTTACAGCTTTTTATACGGCCAATACGGCTAAAAATAAAAATGGTATCCTTAAACATGATCGATAATAATTTCATTTTATTTAATAATATTTCATTTAAAGTGTGGACAGTTAAGAAAACATTTCCCTTCACTTCTCGATTACGATGAAAATATAGTCCTATCAATTAGTATTTCGATTTCCAATACACCGCTGGGAGAGTTGATAGGTTCTCCTTGATTTCTGCTATATCTGTCACCTAACTTATTTGGAACTATTGGGTTTTCAAGCGGAGTGTGAATATTGTAAATACGTGCAGATGGAGTTGTAAATAAAAAATATAAAAAAAGGTGTGACAATTTAGTCAACTCTAATTCTTATTTCTTTCATGGTATACCCACGGAACGTGACGACAAGAATTCTTTACTTTCTTCCGGACCAAGTAAATATTATTGTCAAGGTAAATAAATCAAAATAAATTACAGCATTATATTTAAGTCCTTTAGGTTAATCATATTGTTTTAACGTGGTAATTCAAATTATTTAGTAATTGGTCATTCTAGTATAAAGTGATTTATTACTAAATGAATTGAGGATTCGTGAATATTGGAAATATAAGATGAATATTGTAAATACATACAGATGGAGTTGTGAAAAAACCTAACAAAATGGATGTGATTATCCAGTTAATTCTAATTCTTATTTGTTTCGTGTTTGACCCACTGTGTGAATCTCTATCTCCTCACTCTGGTTACAATAGGTTTGGTTGTACCTCTAGAACAATTCTCTGTATGCCAGACTGGGGAGATGGCTAAAGTTAATTCTTTCATTGCAATTTTTTTTTATAAATAATGGCACAATTGATATGCCATGAGTTTATATTTTCAACAAATATCTAGGAAATCGGACAGAGGCATAAGCCTATTGGATTTTGAATACATGCTTGGAATATTATTTACAACAATGAACCAATGCTTTCAATTCAGAAAAAAAAAATTCTTCCAATCAAAATTTTTGAATTTATTAATTCCACATCATATTTTTATCTTAACACTGGCCAATTTACTATGTGAATTATTCCAATCAGCTATGCTATGTTTATCCCAGCTGGTTTGGATAATAATTCCTTACTCTCTAACTCTACTCGAACCATCCTAAAAATGACCGTTACAACAATAGTTATTTATTTTACACCATAAAAGTAGAGTTTCAGTACTTAAACGCATTTAATGTCAGAAATACGAGGTTATAACAAATCCCAATCGGGTAAAGACAAATATTATGTATTTCCTGAATAGAAACGAGTACGGAAGGAGGTCTCAAAGAAAAAATCGAAGGGTGATACGGTGAGGAAATTTAAGGACTACAATTAGGGTTGGGTCTGCCTAAGTAGTCGATAAGTGGCTAAGAGGAATTTGGAGGGAGGGGAGGGAACAAAACAAGGTAACCCTGATACAAGGAAATATATATTTTCCATTTTTTAATTTTTACTTATCAATAAACAACTTGAAACAATAAAAATAAAGCCACAATCCAATGGAAAAATGTTACTTTTTTCATGTTCAAGACAAAAAAAGAAGGACATAAAGAGTTTTGGCATCAATACTTTGCAAGATTTCTTGGTAAACAAAGGGATTAAAACCCGAACAACCGGGGTATAACGCCCAATGTATAAAAGCTGGATGAGCCACAGAGATGGGATCTTAATCGCGTCGATTCACGGTTAACACAATAAATTATCTACAATATTGGGACTTAAATCTGGTGCACACAAACCCCTACCCCCTACCAAATAACAAACAAGAAAATGACAGAAAGAAGATTCCTAATCAACGATTATATTTGTGGTCTCTAGCCGGGTCTCTGGTCTACTTGAGTAACACTAGTACGGAATTTTACCAATGGCCTAAGAGCTCAAGAGTTAAAGAATGATCGACATAAAGAAACTTTAGGATAAGTCGACTTAACTAATTATGGCCAGAGACCAGAGTTATATATCAAACAGTAAAACTTAAATAAAAATATTAAAGAATTGATTGATTTAAACTGTTTTAATGGTCACACAACATTGGTTTTAATGAAAACAAATGGTCGAAAATTGAAATATTTTGAAGGATCCAAGAAGTATAAATTTTAAACTTAAAATGTTATAAGACATTAAGTGCTCTATATATAAATGGTTTTAAAAATTCTTTAATATTCAAAAGATTGCACTAGTGAGATTCAAAGGGGTTTTCAGCTGGAGTCTTCTCTTGCCCTCAATAAAATATAAAACAATAATTTATTTCATTTTTATATTGATCCATTTTTGCTTTTTAAGCCAAATCTTTAACGACTACAATACAATATCTTTTTAATCGGAGTTTTTATGAGGTTTCTGCATATTCAATATCTGGATCCGCTAATGAAATAATGAATTATTAGAGATAACAAGCGTTTTTCAATTAACTGATCCCTATCAGTCACCTTCGATTAAATCTTCGTACCTCTTTATATTCAACTTATTCCAGACCATAAATACTTGGCAAGTTGGCTAAGGTTGATATCATTGTGGCACATTATAACAAGTTTCCAACAAGTAAATTTGACCAAACAAAAAAATCTTGACTAAATATGTAAAAAGGCTTTATCAACGAGAGCATGAGATAAGCCCGTATATTGTCAAAGGGGACCCAATCCAGGTGGATATAAATGGCTTTCAGGTATAAATAGACTGAAGAGACATCGCGTGATAGACACAGAATCGATCTAACAACAATGGAGTCAAATTAGCCTCTGCCAGAACTTAATCCAATTTTTTACCGCCTACAGCTCTAGTACACTCAGGGGACACGGAAATATTAACGTTCAAGTTTTCAACACTTAAAAAAAAAATTAAAATGTGACTAGTAACCATAAAATTACTTTTTTTTTTGTTTGAACTATTTTATTGAGTAATGTATCTCAATAAATTTATTCACACCATCCATAAAGAGAGAGAATCACTTATATATATATATATATATATATATATATATATATATATATATATATATAACATTTTTTATTTTTTCCTTTTTTATTTTTATTTTAATACTATTTCTTCCATTCATTTATTAGCACTCTACATCCATTTCTCTTCCTTCTATTTCCTAATACATGTTTCTTACTCCTCATATTCTCTTCTCTCTCTTCCTAACCTAATACATAAAATGCATAAAAATACATAAAGTACAGTGGGCGTGTTCAATAAAAATGCTGTAACACACGCATGCCTTCCCCCCATGAACAAACTCTCTACCTATCCGCTCCCATGCACATGGTGGTGGATGATTCCCAGGGGTCGAGGATTATATATATATATATATATATTTTATATATATATATATATATATATATATATATATATATATATATATATATACATTACATCATGCCATACTGATAAATTACATGTTTATGGTTACAATAACCTTACACATGACATACTAGTGGTTGGAATGCTACTTAGAAAATTTAAATTCATTTTATGAGGATTATATTCTCCGGCAACCTTGCCACGTCCTTTATAAAAAAAAAAATATTGAAATAACTTTTATAGGACTACGTGTTATTGGCTTGAACCTAAAATCATTTCAGTTAAAATAATTTTATTATTATTATTTTATTTTATTTTATTTTTTTTTTTTGCACTTAGACCCTTATAGATTGCACCTTAATAATTTTGATAAATACGAAATACGATAAATATCTAATAAAGTATCAGAATACAATTGGTAGATTCTAAAATTGTATATTATTTATATGTATAAAATATTTTTTTTTGTAATTCAGAGCATTATTTCAAGATATTATTAAAATAAATCGTTGTTAAATTTTTTTTTTTTTTTATAATATTTGTCATAAAGATTAGAAGTATAGCCCATTGAATAGTTAATAAATTTTACCGATTAACGCACATTTCCATGTATAAGTACTCTGTAACAAGGCTTTCTTGCAATTACTAAAAATTTTAAAAAAATAACTATTAAGATATTAGTGGTGATAAAAATTATTTTTTAAATTTATCAAGAAACTGATTTATTAGTAAATATTATATTATAGATAAAGATTAAAATATTGAATTATCGAATACTATGAGCCATTAAAAAAATATTAACCATTAAATCTAAAAGTTTAGATTGTTTATTACAACAAAAAATAAATAAATAAAAAGGATTGGTATTCGTTATAAAAAGGACCGAAAACCTCCTTGTAAAGCCATGAGCATTGGATTCAGCTCAAGAATAACACCGATTCAAAAATAGTTTAATATTTTGATTATGCATTTAACTAATATACTGACAGACGTAAGAAAGAATAATTATACCATTTTTATATTCCTGAGAATTTCGTTTATTCACAATACGTAATAGACAATTTCCCACAATCTTCTCATCAATGCCTTGAAGGAACTAATTCTAGCTGACGTGACGCATAGCGGTTAGGAAATAGTAAAAGGAAAATAGTGATTCATTATTCATAGAACCCGAGTTAAATGAGAAATAGAGAATTTAATTATTTATTTTATTGATCTGATTACAAGGATTGGATAATTTTGTAAGTATTTTTTTACAAAACGAACTAATTCTAAAGAGAATAAGATCTTATAAAGATCAATTTTATGATTTCAATAAATAATGGGTTGGTTCAATGGTTACTAGACGTGGCTCAGATTGCTGAATGTGTGGTCGTAACCAGGTTTTTGGTTTTGTTTTTTTATGAAATAGGTAATATTTTCGAAAAATCCTTGGATAGCCACAAGGTGTTTCCTAAGACCCAAGGAATAACCTGAGGTTAGGCACAACCCACAAGTATATAGTTAGAGAGGGGAAACATGGCGACATTGACTATGCCATTTAAGGACATCTAATA